GATGTGGTGCTGCGTTTTCCCTGTGAACGCAATCAAATGTTGCAAGGGTATCAAAATCAAGGCTAACCTGGCCAAATTTTATGAATGTTACGAGCTGGAGTCATTTTCCGACAAAATTACACCCTTTCAGTCTCAGCCGTGTGTTATTAAATTTACCTAAACACCACGTTCGAGCGTTTAAATCCCATTTGCTGATGACTGTCCCAAAAACAATCACTGATTTTTATTGGTCATTTGCTGACCTGAACAGATAGTGCAACGAACGAATTTCTCTAGCATTGTCGTTGTTCATTTAAAAGTTATGTGACAAAATTATCCAGTATAGAAAACAAAAGATATGACAGGCCTGCACGGACTCCCCTCGTGAATTACGGTTTAGTATAGATGCTTTTCCGTAAGCATTATTTTGTTTGTCCTCCGCCATGTGTTCTTCAGTGTCCGTTGGAGGACAGTAACAAGGTGTTTTGGGGGCTGTGTAATCGACATCCTCGTCACCAGATGTACTTAGCAGTAAATCGATGTCTCTTCACTCGGAATTGAGTAAAGAAACGCAAAATCCGTTCTGGATTCGAATACCCGGATTGTGATTTTCGGATTTTGACTAAGAAACGCCCTCTTAGTTCTCAAACTTGCATCTACCTGTGACTTTGTTTGGCCACGCCATAATATTTAACAGTAGCCCTATTTTGTGAACATTTCTCCCTTGCAATACAGTGTAATCCAACGTGGATGTAGGCAATTTCGGGTAGAAACTGCCAAATTGCCAGCAACTTCCTCAAACACATGGTCGATTATATTGTGAATCAAATGAGAAAATTTAACCATCAAATTAAATCTATTCTACAAGTGCACTGGATCCGAGGTAATAATTATTTCACTGCTAATTCAGTACGCCTTCACTATGAATCACTATATTACTATAAATAAACTGGCTAATCTTGGGATTCTATCTAAACGAAGCAACTGTAGAAAAAAGGAAGGAAAATTAATGATGCTGTGATACGACGAGTGAAACGCATGTTTAAAATGAGGAGGCGAGACAGAACTTTCTTTGAAAATATTCCTCACACAACTAAATTTCATCTAAACTCGACTTTTTCTGGAAAAGAAAGAACCTAAAGAAATTGCCAAGCTTTACAAATCAGGTGAAATCAAAAAGAGAGGAGAGGAGAGGTTCGATTGCACGAGCATGTGCGAGTCACTAAAAGCTATTCCTGCGTGCAGCTTTCACTAGCCTTCTGTTAATGTCTTCTAATTCCCTACTGAAGTTATCAATGTGTTGTTCCAGTTTATTTACATGTGCTCCAAAAGGGTCGCACGCTTTAAGTCTTTCGTTCGCCTCCCTTAACTCTGTGATTTCCGTTTCTCTATGCCTTTTCTCGTTTTCCAAGATTTTTATCTTGAGTTCAAGTTGACGGATTTTGTTTTGTGGGTAGAATTCTTCCTCCAACCTATAGCCGCATCGTGAACATGTTTGGTTTCCTGAATCCAAAAAAATAATCAGTTAGTTTTCATAGCACATGCAAATGCTCAAATGTAATGGTTTCTTTGTCTCCAAGAGCCGCTATAAGAGTTCTTATTCGGAATGTCATCTATACAACACGAGCTAGCTATAAACATCTTAGGTCACTATAAACAGGAATGGGGAGGAGAGATTTTGTAACGATTGAATTCCCGTGATTCCTATAAAAAAAAAAAAAAAA